ATAGTAAGTATCATAATTATAATGTGTTGACGAACGCTTACTGATAATAATAATAAGGCTAACTTGTTTCTCCACAAAAACCGGAAACGAGCATAGGACTACGCCCTTAAAGATGAGGGAGGAGGGTTCGATACATTGAGGAAGGGTTAATATTCCTGAGACTTAAAACCAAACTGTAATCTCAATTGAAATCCTAGCCGTACCTCAAAACTGAACCCTGCAGTAGACACGAACACAAACAGTAACCCTTAGCATGCTCCTGATACGAACCCCAAGTCTGATCCCAACCTCTACCGTAAACCTAACCCTTAAGTTGAACCTAATTCTCACCTTAATCCTTAACCTCATTTTCCCGGAATTTGACACAAAACCACATGCATCATGGGCGGTTCTTGTTCTCGGATCCCGGGGTCCCGTTTAGGTTGTCATAAAACTCAGCCTTACCTTAAGAACCTTACTTAAGTAGTTGTTTATAACCGAAAACAGAAGCAAGAAGTTGGGTTAGAATTTCATGCGATGTGCCACTTGCCCTTAGTCCCTGGAGGTGACTAAGTAAAGATATGAAAGCTGTTGTCGCAGGCGGGATTGTTTTAATCAGCCCAGTATAAATCTTCCCATTTTTTATTCTTAACTTCATTTCATTTTTATTATCCTCTTATAAGGTCCCTTTATTGTGATTTTGAACAACCTCGTCTACGTTGTTGGTCAATTCATCTTCCTCTACCTCGTGTTCTTCATACCATACAGTAAGTTCTTATAGTACTCTGTGCCCCATGAGGCCCTCCTATTTTGAATTTCATATAGAAATTGAACAAGGGGGTGACTTAGCAAAAGTACGAGTAACTAACCAGAGGACAGACAGTTTATGTGTGACAGGTCGTTTCATGACACTCATGCGTATGGTGCTTGCACAAAAAAAAGACCTAACCTTGCAGTCAGCACTAAGCTGCGACTTCCCGAAGCTTAGGCTCTGCTAAGCGGCAACACCTCCAAGATCCGCTTCGATTGACGACTGGGTATCCAGTTTGTAAGTGCGCGTGCGTGCGTGTATGTTTTTATCTGTGTAGGTCACTTGAAGAGCTAACTGCGCCCATCCCACAGCAGACAAATCACCGGCTCGGATGGTTGCCTGATGCTGGGGGTGGGGGAGAGAGTGAGATCGGCGGCTCGGCGCACTATAAATAATCTGACGTTTTTTTTTAAATTATCATGGTGCGCCTGTAGGGAGTCGTGGGTTCCGTATAGAAAGAGAAGAGGGGTTCCTTATTGTATAGAGAAGCTCAGTGATGGTTTGAAGCCCCGACGCACGGCAGGCACGCACCCTGCGCGCGCGTCTGTCTGCTAGCGTACTGTAGACATAAATACATAAACGTAATGTGAAAGTGAGCCACTGGCCGCTTGATCAACCGCTTGGACAGCAGCAGTCTACGGCACTTGTAATTGGCCGTTCCAGGGGCAGATAGAAGAGTGAAATCGTGTGACAGTTTGCGGACATGGCGCCGGCTCTACAAACTAAAAGCGCTGGCCTGATAGTTTGCGAACTGACGGTATAATTCGGACTGCGCGGTCAGCCCAGTGTGTTTTTGTGTGAATTGGCTGACTGACGAACTGAGGGTCAGGCTACAATGGCCCCTCCTTAATATGGCAGTTGTGGCACTCCCACTCAACTGAGATTCGAGTAAGTTGTAGCGGCATACTTAGGGTGACTCTGATTATAAGTTTAAGCCAGAATCCGAAACGTCAGGCCAATAGACTTTTTGTACCAGTGCTCACATCTTCTCCTTCTGAACCGGTTCCTGGAACAAATATTCGCCCGCATTCTCCTCAATCCTCTCAATAGGCATCTGGATCATTAAATTCCCCCAGGGAAGTTTCGTGGGTTCTGGGAAAATCGCAGAACCATCGGCGCCATCGTTGCAGCACTTCAATTGCGTGGAAAGGGCTGAAAGGTAATGAGCAAAATTCACACCTAGCTCAGCGGTCTGACGAAAACATTCGATACCATCAGTACCGCCGACATTTTCAATGTCCATTTCAATAAGATTGAGAATAAGAAGCCGTGTCGATCACCGGAATCAATTCGCAATTTCAATAATGTCTCCTAAATTCCTGATGTTCCTTCCTCGGAGTCATGGAGAAAACTACTCGGGAAAGATGAGGAAAATAACCAGTGAAGAGTTTTAATACAAAAAAA